AAAAAAGTGAAATTTTGAAAAATCCTTGAGTAGATTTTTCAGCACATCTCATCATTTCGGCCCATTCAAAAGAAAGTCCAAGAGTCAAAGCCGTGACAGGAGAACTCATTTTTGCAACCATAACACGACACTGGGTCACTCCCCTAAACCAAATATAGGGATTAGTTCCTCAGAAAATAGTGCAATTGTGAAAAAGGCTTCCCTGAGTAGCTTGTGCTGCACATCTCATCATTTATGCCCATTCTAAATGCAGTCCAAGCATCAAAACCATGCCAGGAAAACTTGTTTTTTTAACCCTAACCCTACCCTGGGTCACTCCCCTAACCCTAAGATCTGTGCATCTGACCATGTTGTGGATTTGTTGCTTGGAATGTGTTTAGAAGGGGCAGCAATTATGAGATGCGCAAGGAAATCTACTCAAGGAAGTCTTGTTCAAAATTTCACTATTTTCAATGGAACTTTTCATATATTAGGGTTACGGGAAAGACCCAGGGTAGGGTTAGGTTTACAAAGACCAGGTGTCCTGGCATGGATTTGATGCTTGGAATGTGTTTAGAACAAGCAGAAATGATGAGATGCGCGAGGAAATCTACTCAAGGAAGACTTGTTGAAAATTGCACTATTTTAAATGGAACTTTTCATATATTAGGGTTATATGACTGACTCAGGGTAGGGTTAGGGTTCCAAAAACCAGGTGTCCTGGCATGGATTTTTTGCTTGGAATGTTTTGAGAATGGGCAAAAATGATGAAATGTGCGGGAAAAGCTGTTCTAGGAAGTCTTTTGTAAAGTCACACTATTTTCAATAGATCTTTCCCCTGTATTAGAGGTAGGTGAGTTACCCAGGTTAGAGTTTCAAAAACCAGGTGTCCTGGCATGGATTTGATGCTTGAAATGTGTTTAGAATGGGCAGCTATAATGAGATGCGCGAGGAAATCTATTCAAGGAAGTCTTGCTTAAAATTTCACGATTTTCAATGGAAATTTTCATAAATTAGGGTTAGGGGAAAGACCCAGGGTAGGGTTAGGGTTGCAAAGACCAGGTGTCCTGGCATGGATTTGACACTTGGAGTGTTTTTAGAATGGTCAGCAATGATAAGATGTGGCGAGGAAATCTACTTAAGGAAATCTTTTTGAAAATTGCACTATTTTCAATGAAAATTTTCATAAATTAGGGTTAGGGGAAAGACCCAGGGTAGGGTTAGGGTTGCAAAGACCAGGTGTCCTGGCATGGATTTGGCACTTGGAATTTATTTAGAACGGGCAGCAATGATGAGATGCGCGAGGAAATCTACTCATGGAAATCTTTTTGAAAATTGCACTATTTTCAATGGAAATTTTCATATATTATGGCTAGGGGAGAGACCCAGGGTAGGGTTAGGGTTCCAAAGACCCAGTGTCCTGGCATGGATTTTATGCTTGGAATGTTTTGAGAATGGGCAAAAATGATGAGATGTGCGGGAAAAGCTGTTCTAGGAAGTCTTTTGCAAAGTCACACTGTTTTCAATAGATCTTTTCCCTATATTACAGGTAGGTGAGTGACCCAGGGTAGGGTTAGGGTAACAAAAACCATGTGTCCTGGCATGGATTTGATGCTTGGAATGTGTTTAGAACAAGCAGAAATGAGGAGATGCGCGAGGAAATGTACTCAAGGAAGACTTGTTGAAAATTGCACTATTTTCAATGGAACTTTTCATATATTATGGTTAGGGGAGAGACCCAGGGTAAGGTTAGTGTTACAAAAACCAGGTGTCCTGGCATGAATTTGACAATTGGAATGTTTTTAGAAAGGGCAACAATGAAGAGATGCGCAAGGAAATCTACTCAAGGAAATCTTTTTGAAAATTGCACTATTTTCAATGGAAATTTTCATATATTATGGCTAGGGGAGAGACCCAGGGTAGGGTTAGGGTTCCAAAGACCCTGTGTCCTGGCATGGATTTTATGCTTGGAATGTTTTGAGAATGGGCAAAAATGATGAGATGTGTGGGAAAAGCTGTTCTAGGAAGTCTTTTGCAAAGTCACACTATTTTCAATAGATCTTTTCCCTATATTTGAGGTAGGTGAGTGACTCAGGGTATGGTTACGGTTACAAAAACCATGTGTCCTGGCATGGATTTGATACTTGGAAGGTCTTTAGAACGGGCAACAATGATGTGATGCGCGAGGAAATCTACTCAAGGAAATCTTTTTCAAAATCGCTCTATTTTCAATTAAACTGTACGTATATTAGTGTTAGCAGTTTTTTCATGGGTTAGTCTTACAAAACCGAAGTGTCCTGGCACAGTTTTGATGGTTGGAATGTGTTTAGCATTAGAAGAAATGATGAGATTTGCTGGAAAACCTACTCAAGCAAGTGTTCTTCGAAATCACACTATTTTCAATACTAACCTTATATTATTGTTAGGAGTTTGATCCTGGGTAGGGTTAGGGTTGCAAAAACGAGTAGTCCTGGCATGATTTTGATGGTTTGAATGTGTTTAGAATGGGCAAAATGATGAGATGTGTGGCAAAAGAAACTCAAGGAAGACTTTGTCAAAATCACTCTTTTCACAATGGATCTTTAGTCCTAAATTAGGATTGGGAAATACACCAGGGTAGGGTTAAGGATTACAAAAACGTGGTGTCCTGGCATGATTTGAATGGGTGGAATGGGTTTACAATGTGCAGAAATGAAGAGTTGTGCTGGAATAGGTCCTCAAGGACGGCTTTTTCAAATCACTTTATTTTCAGTGGAACTTTACCCTATATTATGGTTAGGGGTGTGTACCCGGAAACCTTTAGGGTTACATCAACGAGATGTCCTGGCATGGTTTTTAGGGGGGATTTTGTTTTGAATGGGCAGAAGTGCTGAGCTGTACAGGAAAACTTCTCAAGGAACTCTTTTTCATAATCGCACTATTTTCAATGGAACTTTGCCTTATATTAGGGTTAGGGGTGTGATCCAGGATAGAGTTAGTGTTACAAAAATTAAGTGACCTGGCATGATTTTGATGGTTGGAATGTTTTTTGAATGGGCAGAAATGATGAGATGTGCAGGAAAAACTACTCAGGGAAGGCTTTTTCAAAATCACATAATTTTCAGTGTAACTTTAGCTCTATATTAGGGTTTGGGATGTGCACCAGCTTAGGGTTAGTGTTACAATAACCAGGTGTCCTGGCATGATTTTGATGCTTGGAACGTGTTTAGAATGGGCTGAAATTATTACCTCTGCACACAAGCTCCTCAAGGAAGGTTTATTCATAATCGCCCCTTTCAATGGTATTTTACCTTTGCATTAAGTTTAGGGATGTTCACCCATGTATGGTTCCGACTGTGGTGTTGAACGTATGGCATTCATGCCACAGCAGCTACACAGAGCCTTCTCTTTCAGCTTGTGAGCCACCTCACTCCAGCATCGCCCCCGCATCCAAGTGTTGGATAGCAACGCACATAGTGGCCATGTGCATGCTTGGAAAGGAGTAGCGCCTTCAGGCAGTGACATCGCAAGCCACAACTCATTAGCCATGACTCGTCCAAGCTTTTGCTTGGCTGGTCAGTGCACTGCCAATGATATAAATATAATTGCTTGTTGTGACTATGAATTGTTTTTTCTCAACTAAAACCTCAGTTTTCAGGTTTTATTGTAGTGTTGGCATTTTGTGATAAATAATTGGGTTTTGGGTGTCAGTTTGGGCACTTCGGGCTCTAAAAGGCTTCCCATCACTGTCCTCAAAGTAGCATGGGAGGTGATGTTTGACCCTTTGAATGTCTGCCACTGTTTGACTCTTCGCATGTCCACCCCACCAACCCTTCACATGGGAATATGGAGCCCCAGATTCCATCCTTCTTTTACCTGAGTGTTGGAGAGGATTTTCTGGTCTTGCTTTGCTAGGCACAGGGGGACCATTTTAAGGGCTGCCATAGGATGGCTTTCTCTTTGTCCAAGTTGGATGTAAAGATAAAGAACCACCAGAAGAGCATGCGGCAGGAGTCTGTCAACACTTGAGCACTAGGACTGCAGGCTGAGCAGGTGCAGAGTTCACCTGGCTGCAGCCTTCCCCACTTTGCTTAAATTTATTGCATGTCTATCAGGATGATAGACATTACCTACATACAAACCCCTATACACGTACATCAGCATATGCACATTTTATGCAAAGCTGGGTCCCCTTTGTGGTGGGGAATGGGCCTTTTTCTCCTTTGACAGGGCTTAAGTGGTTTTCTCCTAGATTTTGGGTGCCTATTCTGGATTGAAGCATAGGGAAGCCAGTTCAAACCCCCAACTTATGAAGATTGGTTCAGAACGTTTGTTGCTACATATTCTCATGCAAGGTGATGGAGTTACAGTGGTAGTCAGTCAAAGGCTCACCTCCCCCAGCTAATTCTTTGCTCCAAATTCTCCCTTGTGCCAGTAGCTTATTTTTATTTTGCTCATTTTATTTCAGTTTAATGAACTGCCGTGGCTATTCTCCCCCACCCTGACACCCAACGTTGGTGCTGAGAATTGCCAGGGATTCTTAAACTCTCATGGATAAATCTCAAGCTTCCCCAGCTAAACTGTAAACTCTCAAGGTGCTGCTATGTGGCAACTGTGTAACTTTTGAACACTTTTTGAGAAAGTAGAGGAGCGAGAAACTTAATCAGCAAAGCTGTTCTTTCTTTAGGGGAGGGCGTTATTCCTTTGGTTTGCAGCCAATTAAAAGTACAAAATTATAAAACAGTGATTAGAAAATCTGGTACCTGCCACCTGGATCCAGAAGTATTACTATTTTTATAGAAGTATTAGAAAAGGTCCCATTGTTTCCATACTGTTTTGGCCAAAGATCAGAGACTGTAGAAACAGCAATAAAGTTTCTGTGCATTCTTTATTTTTTTAGGATGTGGAAGAGTGTTGCCATCATACACTGTTGGAGGCAAATTTCAAACTTCAATTTTAGGAGCAGGAGGGCAAATGTGGGTGCAAGTTTAAAAATTACTGTGCATTCTGAAGAACCTTAGAATTGAGGGATGACATCCATTTTAGAAGAGGCATTCTGAAAACCAAATAGGACAAAAAGAATTTAGTTGAAAAACTTGAATACAGCAGCGTCTGATAAACCTCAGCGGGACTTTCTTCTGAATAAGCCTGTCGTACAGACGTGGCCAACCTGCAGCTCCAAGATGGCACTGTTTTCTGTGCAGCCTGCTAACCCAGGACCTCCCTCTTCCTCACAGCCCAGCTGCACAGCAGGGTGAAGGGAAAAGACTGCTGCTCCAGTGCTACTATTATCAATGTATTGATTTCTTTCTCCTTCTTTCCTCTGGCCTTAATTTGTCTTTCTGAAGGTTCTCAAATAACCAGGACTCTGGAGAACGTTAAGGGAGAGAGATACAATGCTCTACGTTCTCAGTGAAAGTGCTCAGAAGGGTCAGATGCTAAGATGTACATAATGCATGAAGCTGTAGCCAAGTTATACCCAGCGCTGGCTCTGTGTCATGGCTGGGTGCCTCTTCCCCATTAGGTACTCCAGGGACAATAATGGGTAGCTTACATTACAGAAAGGCAGGCTGAACTTGCTAAGAGCCAGAGCAGTTAGACAATGAAGCCAACTGCCTAGGACATGCATTTCACCTTTGTTCAATTGTTAATTAGTGACAAGAGGTATAACAGCTATTGAAAATGCTTAGCAAAAAGTTTTTCATATACTAAATTGCACCAAAGCTGCAAATGTAACTGCTAAATAAATCCATCTACATCTTTTCCTTCAAAATTCTGCAAACTAGATAAACTACCATTCCAACATTCTCTCTCACAAATTTTTCGGCTGCCTGCAGGCCTGGTGAGGATTTTTTGCTTCCCCTTTTAGGGTAGATCTGCTGTAAGCATGAGGAGGGTTTAAGGTCTGATCCCCCTGCCCCCCAAGTGGAATCTTGAACTCTGTTTGCTACCACATACAAGTCAATTTTTAGGGAACAGCCAGTGCTCTTAGCAGACAGTATGTATCATGTATTAGTTCACTGACTAAGAAACATGGTATAAACCTAATGCATAAATATAAAGACTTGCAATGCTGAATCTTTCACAGGCTGTCCCAGTGCTGGCGGTGGCTTCCAAAATGACTGGGTCCTCACTGTGGCAAACAAGCCAGGTCTGTTTGTCCAGGGGCAATAGGAAATGATTGGGACTGATGTGTTAGGGCCCCCTGCATGAGGTCAATATATAGACATCCTTAACAGTTCATTCTGAAATGTTATCCAACCATTTGCCTGTGGGGTTGGAAGCCATCAGATTCCCCAGACGAGTCTCCCCAGACTCCAGTCCCCTTGATGCCACAGGAGTCCAAGCTCCTGCCAAGTGCACTTCGCGTCTGTGTGGCATCAAGAGCTGCACGAACCCCCTGCAAGCAGCATCCCTCTTCCATGCCACATGCAGCCACCTTTGTGTTGCCTCATGTAACGCCAAGGAAGGTTGCCAGCTGCACAGCCTTGGTTCCATGAGCTGCCACGGACTTCCTTGTGGCTCGCTTTCCAAGACAGGGCCAAGAACTAGTGGAGATCCTCAAATGCTAGCGGACAGATTGTGTGGCACTTCAACACATCCCTACACTACGCCACCCCATAACCGAAACTTTGCGGGTGGTTTGCGGCAGTGCCTAAGCAAGACTGCGATACAATAAAAGTAGCCATTGAAATGTTCAGTAGTACAAAATTTTAGAAAGAGTTTAGCATCTTTAAAACAATGTAATGATTAAAACTGCAGTTAATGTATACTTGTTAAAAACACAGGCATGAGTGCCTCTACTGGCCATTAGATGACCTGAGACATCTCTAAATGCCTCATACCAGAGGGCTGTCTTAACCCTGCACCAGACGATGAGTTGGCACCCAGCTGGCCTCTGTGGGGAGATCATTCCACAGTCAGGAAGCTGCCACCGAAAAGGCCCTCCCTTGTGTTGCTGCTCTCTGAGCCTTCCTTGGAGGTGGCTCTTGGAGGAAGGCCTCAGATCACGGTGCATGGGCAGAAGTTAAGAAATATGCCTAGAGGAGATTTCTCTATGCTGGATAGCCAATTGATACAAGTGTGTCTGATACTGTTCTGCAACTTGGGCATATAGGCAAAGGGATACTTGGTATTTGCACTACAATATTATTGCTACCTGTATTTTTAATTGGCAATGAATGTGTGTGTGTGTGTTTAACAAGTAGCCTAAGCGGTGACCTAAATATGTGTATGCACACTACCTTGTCCCTGTGCATCTCCACTTCCAGGAAAAAAGCACCAGATGGTCCCAGCAATACTTGAATCAAAACAGCATCCTTTGTTGTAGCATTCTTGAGCACTGATGTATGGGTAGCCACAATTTATTCTTTGCTTTAGCTGCACGTCACATTGTCCTGGGTCTGTGAAATACAAAGCCCATGTGCATAATATGATTGTGTTGGCAAGTCTTTGTTAACAACATAGATGCTTTCATTTTCACCTGCTGAACTTTCCAGACTGTTTTCAAAGGCAACCCCATGTAGAACACTTTGCAGTAATCCAGTTCAGTGATTAGCAGAGCACAAACAGCAGCGGTTAAGCTACTCTGTCCAGATAAGGACATACTTAGTATATAAACCTAAGCTGGCAAAAGGTGCTCCATGCCACCAAGTTCTCTTGTGCATCAAGTGACAATTTTGGTTCCAAGAATATTCCCATGAACTATAAATCTGCTCTTTGCAGGGACTGAAACCTCCCTCTAGAACCAGTTGAATATCACTCATCCAAACCAAGTAAACTGCGCACTGTCTGGACTGATTCTCAGTTTAGTGGCCAACTTTCTGCCCATTACTGTGCCCAGGCACCCAGTAAAGCTGGGTGTTATCCACAGCCTCAGTTCACACCCTATGGACAACCTCTTCTGTTGGTTTCATGCAGGTAGTGAACAGCATGGTGGACAGAATAGATTCCTGTGGAATCCCATCACAAAGCTGTCAAGGAACAGAGCAGAAATCCCCCAGCAAGAGCTGTTGGAATTGATGTCCGCATAGGAATGGAGCCTCTGTAGTACAGGGCCTTTAAATTCCAACCTAGACAACCTACTTGGCAGGACATCATGGTGGATGGTACTGAAAGCCACTAAGAGGTCTGAAAGGTTCAACAAGGTGGCACTCTCTCAATGTATCTCCCAGAAAAGTTTGTCCAACAGAGACGACTTATGAAAGAGCGCTCATACCAAGGACTGATTTTTCAGTGGCAGGCAGATTGTTTTGATTTCAATATTGTGAAGGTGTTGCATTGATCAATTTCTTGCCTTGTCACGATCAATGGTCAGTAAAGCATCAGGTGACAGTCCAAAAGTATGTATTTTGGATTTAATATCTTTCATCCACTTACTCTCATGAGAGTCCTCCATACCAAAGAAAGGCAGACTGCAAGGAGCTAAATTCAGGCATAGCCAAAAACGAAATGCCCTGAGTCAGGCCTGTGTAGACACTGAAGGAAGACCACTTTCCAGCCTCAGAGAAGCATTTGGAATGCAGCCTGGTACGTACAGCAATTATTGCCTAAGAAATTTAGACTGCACAATTTCTACTGATTTTAAATTTGTATTGGCCCAGATTGTAATCCCATGTAGCAACTGAACTAATAGCTTAGCTCTATGAACCTCCAGCACTGCAGGCATAAAATTATGTCCTTTTTATTGATAAATGCATTAAGGTGGATCAGGCTGGTTTTATAGTAGGGAGAAGGGATGTCAGACTTGACTAGAAGAGTACTAAATGGAATAGCATTCATATCAAAGAAAAGGTTAAATATCATGAGATTTTTTTAAGCTTTTGATTGTAAGGAATGAGCCGTGATAAAGATGTTGATAAGGATATTAGAATTTGGTTCACAATTTAAAAGTGCAATAAGTCAATTATAGTCATAAAACTTTGCCACAGTGACAGTTAATGATGCTTTAACAGAAAGAATATCCTTAGGCCGAGACACTAGGCAGGAATGCCTTCTTTCAGCAATACTGTGTCATTTAGTTATAGAATTATTAGCAAACAGTATCAGAAATTATGATATTAGAGAAGGTATTGGATTAAGAATAAAATTAAGATTAATTTGTTTGCTGATGATACATCATTATCAATTGAGGACCCATTAAAAGTTATGGATCAGATTAAAATTCATTTGGTGGAATTTGGTGAGATAACAGGTATACAGGTTAATTGGGATAAACCTGAGATGATGTCGTTTAATTGCAATAGTGAAGAAAAGCAGGGAATTAAGAATACATTTCAAATTAGAATATGTAATATTATTAAATATTTAGGTATCAATATCTCAAAATATACTCAATGTCTAAAAAAGAATAATTTTGATATATTAAAATATGAAATAAATAAGATACTACAACAATTCAGGAAAATAGGATTATCTTGGTTTGGGAGGATAGCAGTTTGCAAAATGAAAAATTTAGCTAAAATTAACTTCATATTTGGGATGTTGCTAATTAGGATATTAGGAAAAGAGAAGATTGACAAACTATGATTAATAAATTTGTAATGGAGATGAGAAAGCAATGATTAGTAAGAAAGGATTATAAATCACAAAAAGAGGAAGGACTAGGTATTCCAAATATTAAACTATATTATGAAGCTAATCAATCAAGATTTATACCAAATATTATATTGCAGCATGATGAGATAATATGGGCAGAAATAGAACAGGAAATTGAGGAATATTTCTTAAATCTGGTTCTTAGACAGGATGATAAGATTGTAAAAAAGGTAGAAAATCCCCTTTTTTTGAAATTAATGAAAAAAATTCCCAGGCCTTATTTTTTGAACTGCTGCTAAATGAAATATTTAAAGCTGCATTTTAAAATTAGATTTTCTCATATTTAAAATGTTTTGAAATTATCTCTCCTTTAAAAGTGTGTTGCATTGTTGTTGTTGCTTTAAAATGATTGTATGCAGCCCACTGGATTTCAGTCCATTGATCCCAAAGCCCCTCCCGACTGCAGGGTAAAAGATCCTAGACATACGACTACCCAGTCTCTGCTTGAATACCTTCAGCTACAAAGAGCCCACCAATGCCCTAGACAGCTGGTCCCAATGCCTGACTGCCTTGATAGAAACCTGAAATCTGCTTTTCTGTAACTTAATCCTGATATTTTGTGCCCGGCAGTCTTGCATGACAGAGACCATGTTTGGAGTCCTCTTCTGTGTGACAAACTTTTAGATACTTGGAATAGTATCATATCATATCATATCCTCTGCCTATCATCTTTTCTCTTCACAGCCAAATATACCACACAGTTCATTTCCAGTCTCCTAATTATTTTTGTTGCCCTTCTCTGAACTGCTTTATCTCAACCTGTCTTAAACTAGGATGATGAGAGCAGAATGAAGTGTTCAAGGTGCGGTCTGCCCAGGACTGAGCAGAGTAGAATTATTACTCCCCTTGATTTTGAAACCACATTTCTATTAATACAACTCACAATTGCATTTGCCTTTTCTGCAACCAGATCACTCCACTAACTCATACTCAGCAAATTATGTTTCAACACATTTTCTCATTTGCCTTATTGTCCTTGTTCTCATTATCTATGCTGCCCCGAGAGCTTCAGTTATAGAGCAACTCAGAAATGGAATAGACAAGCAGACACATGGCTTCCCCCTCCAAATGGTACAGTTCTACTCACATAATTTAGGATACATTGCATTAGTCAGGCTGCTGAGTCCTACTATAAGGACAATGACCACTGGCAAGAATCTCTTGGATTCCATGGCAGCTTACGGTGCTCTTTTTTGTCCTGAATCTTCAAGTCTCCATAAGAAACCAGTCCAAATTGTTTAAAAACCCCAATAGCACAAAGACTAGGCAAATGATTCACAGAAATATTTTCTATCAACCTGTTTGTTCATCTTTTTCTGATAATTTTTATCTTGGGTGGCCTATTACTATGTCACCATTACTCCACCTATGTTTATATTGATTAGAATTAGCATGTATACAGCAGATACATTATCAAGCAGAAAGAAATGATGGCTTGATTGTCAGTCTTAGCAGCAAAAGGAGATCTGCCCTGAATTCTTTCCTCCTGAATCATTCCTAAATTCACCCTTACATTAATTCATGTTCTCTCAGTGCCAGTTCAGTCAATCACAGTAACTACCCATTGATTGAGGAAATACCCAGTAGTGTCAGGACAAGGACGTACAGGCTCATTCTGCTGTCTACAGAGAGCCCCAGTGCCATGCGCCAGCTATATATACCAAATAAAGTTGTTCTCTTATGGCTTTGAAATATACTCTCTCTGTGTGGGCATTTGGAACTGTTGTGCCCTCTCCAGTGGCCTTCTCATTGAAGGGTGCCATGGAGCTCCCAGAGACATGGAAGAGGCTCCATGAACTAACTCTTGGACAATTGTACCTTCCTTTTTACACACATTGAGCCCTCCAATATTCAGGAGGCACATGCTGGCCTGCCAGCTGGTCCTAGGGCGTGCTGGTGCTGAAAGTGGAGGCTCAACTGGCCACCAGACTCCTGCTGGAAAAATAGGAACTCTTCATGTGTAATCGTCTCATCATCAAGCCATGGGTGAGGGTCTGTCATAAGGAGATCATTCCTCGGGTGGAAGTCCTGGCCTGCAGCTGTGTTCCAGATGGAGCTTTGAAGGCTCAGAATGGAAAGCCTTTGGTGTTGAAAAAATGCCTGCCTTATTTTTCCTCTAGTAAGGTTTCTGCAATCCTGATTGTCCTGTGTGTGGAATATCTATGAACTGTTTTCTTACAATGATGGAAGCTAAGTATTTTTCCCTCTTCCAAGGAAATTATTGCCATGCTGCTTGTTCTGAGTTGAAATGTTCAATAGAGGATTATAGTGGCTCATAAGACAACATACTTGGTAACCATGGGCAATAAAGGGGTTGGGTATTGATGGGCTTCCATAGGTTCCTTCCCTAGGCAAGCAACTTATTCTGCCCCTCTGATAGCACCCTACATTCTTATATTTGTATGTGACATGCTGCAGTGTTTCTGAAAATGTCTGCTCTTCTCATCAGAGTACCCCAGGTGATCAGATATGTATTGTGATAGATGAGGTCTAGATGATCTTCATTCTCTCCATTTTATCTTCACTACAACACATTGAGTTGGTAATTGGCCCAAAGTCACTCCATTATCTACGTGACTAGACCTGAATCTTCGGGGACCCAGTCCAACAATCTAACTGTTATACTGTACTAGTTTTTCTACTTGTTGGGAAATATCTTGTTAGGAAGCATCTCCCACAGTTTAGAGATGTAATATGTATGTTTTCAAGTTAAGTCTGCCAGCTCCCAACCTCTGACTAAACAACTCCCCCATACTATCTCTTAAAAATTAGCTGGATTAGCAAAAATATTTACATGGTATCAGAT